GCGTTGACGTCGGCGCCTTTGTCGAGCAGCATCTTGACCACCTGCTCATGGCCTCCAGCTGAAGCTGCATGCAGTGCGTTGCCGTAGTATCCACTCTGTGCGTTGACGTCGGCGCCTTTGTCGAGCAGCATCTTGACAACTTCATCGTGTCCAAACCATGACACAACAGTAAGATGGGGCATAATAGTACTGATCTGGTCAAATATATGCATGCCTTCATACAGTTGAGACCACTGTGAAAAACATGTAGACCTTGGATCAGACACTCTTAGCCCAAGATGTAATAAATTAGCATCTTTGCTAGTGCTTAATCTGGCTTCGCGGAAGTGCATCGGCCAGAACTTAGCGGAGTATTCAAACATGGCATCCATGCTGTGATGTTGACTATTTTCACCTCCTCTCGCATGCACAGCAAAGCCGGGTTCTGGGTCAAAGAAGCTAAGATACCGCACGCATCGCTCTGCGAGGGTCCTGTGCGCTTGCTGCATTGTAACAGAGTGTTGCCATCGCACCCCTTGAGGTACAGTAGTAGATGATGACACATCTGCCAAGAGAAATTCGCGGGCAGTCTGATGAAGAAAGTAAACCTTCCCGTGATAGACTGAGACGAACAGTCCACACCACGACCTAAGGCGTGATTTGAAGTCCTCTTCGCTTTCAAGGTCGAGCTCTTGCCATGACTGCGTAGTCTCCTCTATCTCGATGGCGACATTCAGCTCGGAGAGCGTCAGTGCCCGATTTGCGGCTAAGATGATGGCTAAGGCCTTGCGGACCATTGGTCGATCTTTAGACTTGCTCAAGATCTTCTCGTACGCCTGGTTGACAGTTGTTGGTAGCAACCTGGTTGCAGACTCGATTCCCCTTCTAGTCTTCTTGAAACCTTCAGACTCCAAATAGTCAAACACTAGATGCACCCAGAGGTACGTGCGGTGTTCGATTCTAAGCAATGCATCTAGTAGACCAGCTGCTGTATCGTTCGAAAGCGTTTCATCTCCTGCTCGCTGTTCAACCCGGTACTTGATGACATGGTTAACCTCATGACTGATGGTTTCAGACTTCTCTTCCCCAGGTATGTGGATGCACGGAAAAGCCTTGAGTAGACTCTGGAATCTGCCTACAATCTGCTCGTATGGACGACTCGTCATGAGATATCTGAGCGCGCCACGACTCGACTGACTGTTGCAAGACTGGCCTTCGATGTTGCGCATCAGATCCTCGAACTCTGACTCCGCGCACTCATCCAAGGCATCAAGGACTATGATAACAGGTCCTGCTTGACTGTCCTGCACGGCGTTTTCTAAGACCGTCCAGAGTGACTTCGTCGAGTCAACTAGGCCCTTGCCATCCTGCTCGTACTGTCTCATAGCGTGCTTAAGTAAATCTGGCTTCTGGGAGAAGAGTTGGTGCAGCAGCGCACAGAGCGCTTGGCGGACTGTGTTCTGGTCCTGATCTTTGAAAAAAAAGTAGCAGACGGTCGCCGACTCTGGCAGGACATGGTTAACCAGATACTTTGCCAAGACCGACTTCCCACATCCAGGGTCTGCTGAGACCAGTAGCGGCCCCGAGACTCGTTCGAGCCATTCCTGAAAGTGGGCGTGTCGAAGAAACCATTCGCACGTGCCTTCTATCCGGTCTTCCACACGGTCCTTGTACCACTCGTAGGTGGCGTCCTGAGTGCTCTTGGTCAGGCGAAACAGTTGCAGACACTCTTTCTGACGATCGGACAGCTCTTGCTCGCGTACCGTTTGCTGAAACCTGAGCGATTTCTCTGCAATGTTTCGATGGTCTTCGGCAATTAGCTGGTGCTTTGCTGCGGTTTCTTGGAGGCCTGACATGTTTGCAAAAATTAGCATTCACTTGCGCAGCAACTGCTAAATACCCGTGGACTGACCAGAGAGGACGTCGACAATCTTCTGCTCGGCCTCCACCTTGTCTGACGGAATCACCGATAACACTTCCTTTGTGTACGCTGCCGCCGTCCCTGCTGCATACATCTGCCACTTCTTGTTCTCGTGCGAGTCGGCATAGTCGCAGATGCCGCGAATCACCAGACACGGGAAGCTGTTCATCAGGCCTGCCGCCTCCATCTCGAAACACAGCACCCCACCAAGCTCTGCGCTGAGCCTGTCTCTCTCGGCAGCGGTCTTCATGGCCTGGTTGCCAGATGCAATCGTTCCGTAATGCACTACCACTTCCTGCCGTCTTGCCTCGCGAGCTACTGAACGGTCTTGACTACACGCTCTACACGTAGTCCCTCCCTCATGGCTGTACTCTGCTTCGAAGAGAATGTCCGGGCCAGCAGCTTCGCGCCCAAACTCGGGCAGGCTGGCAAGCTTGGAAAGATACTCCAATAACTTGCCTCTCCCCCTCATGTGCTTAGCCCGCACTTTCGCAACGGCGCCAAGGAGTATCGTAGGCGGCGAGTTGAGCGAGCCTACTCGCTCGAACCCGGTCGGGGTGGCCTTCCCAGAGTCATACTGCACCACTCCGCCATGCGTCTTGTGCGGCTTGCTGACCACGACGTCGCCAAGTCTGACGTCTGCCTCCTCGCTGGGAACGCCGCCTCCGATGCCGACCATCAGACCGAAGCGAGTTGAGGTGAAAGTCGACTTCATCTGCACGGCGACTGCTGCAGCTGAGTTGGCGCCCATCTGGCCTTCAGGCAGGCAAGCGATCACGACATTGTGATCGCCGACTCTTCCGCATGTGTAGATGTTTGTATCGCGGGCATCGTATGCAGGCGTTTCGTGCTCTTCATCGAGCAGTTCCTCCGCGGCCGCCAGCTCGACTGAGAGGACGCAGACCCATCCCACGGTGTAGTCCTCGCAACTGAGCCTGAGGGCCATCGACTAGTGTTCTGTGGGAGAAGACTGGTGACTGGAGTGCGTGCTAGCTCACGTTGAAACCATGTTCGTAGAGATGAACAAAGTGAAGGGTGCAGGAGAGGACGCAATCATCGTGAAGCAAGCTGAGCAACGGCACTCATCACTGCTTGATCTGTCAGCCTGCTCTGCACGAGGCTGACGGCCAGCCTCTGCCACAGGCCGAGTTGTGGTCGGTGCAATGGGGAGCAGCGGGTAAAGATGGGGGCGGAAACAGGGTGGAAAATGGTTGGTTGGCGGAACAATCTCTCCCAGCTGACAGGCTTGGCAGACTGCCGATGCGCCTGTGCGCGCACGGTTGTAAATGCTTCTAGAAAGCTGTCAGCATGGGTCGCATCTATTTTAAAGCCAGTGCAAAAGCAGGCCTAGCGCTCAATTCATTGTAGATTACAATCGGTCTGTAGCTGCACTAATGCAAACTGATGCAAGCCAAGCTTCATTGGCGTGTCCCGCCAGCTTGGGTCTCGCTAAGGGGTGCTCTACCTCCAGCCTTCGGGGCTTTCGGCAAGTTCACTCCCTTGCTCATGTGATCTTTAAAGCCTGCGAACATAGTCTTCGTTACCCCGTCCTCCTTCTGAGGCCTCTGGTATTTTGACAGATTCTGAAAGGCGCGAATAAACAGGGGTGATTGTTCGAGGGTCGTTTGACGGCGTCAGTGATAGGACCGATGGCACGACCAGCACTTCAGAATCCTCGTCGGGGCCTGTTAACCTGAATGCATGAACACCGCAATCAAATGACAGCTCTACAAGTCTTCGCAGTAGAGGCGCCGAAGGCCCGAACCGCCAACTTGTCTCGGGACATGGTGTGTCTCTCCACTTAGGGATGCACCTTAAGTGAGGAAGCAGTGAGTGATGTCAGGGTAGCATTCGTGATCTTATGGACCAGCCGATCGAGAAGTGTGACGTGAAACGAGGACGGGTATCAGCAATGAGGAAGGCGGTGAAGACGGCTAGCATGGAACGAGGACGGAAGGCACAAACAAGCAGGCAGATATTTGACAGGAAGACGCCATAACAATTCAGCTCACCGCTTGATACGTTGAGTGCTAAAGCTCTATCGCTACAGAGTGCAGACAGATTACGCGAAAGCGTCTGCCCCGCAAACCTTCAATCTTTCGCACCAGCTGCGAAGCCGATTGCCCATGTCTCACTACTCATTGTTCTGGACCCGTTCTCACTGCAAAAAGGATTTCCAAGAGGCTGCGGCATTCCAATACTATCCTTCCTCAACTGCACATCCCTCTCTTTCTCCCTGGCATTTACCTTCGTCCACCGAATTGCCGTACGTATACTACCGCCGCTAAGACTGCGTGAATGTGTTGGCGTAGTAGGAGATTCATTCTCTTGTTTTCTGAACGACAAGCTGAGTTTGCGCTTATGCCCTGTAGGTGCCGGAGAAGAAGTTACAGGTACAGGTGACGAGCCTCCAACGCTCGTTGGTGACGAAAGAGGTGTGGAAGATGCCATCGTGCCGCCAACACCTGCCCTCGATGTGACGGAGGATGACTTGTGCGGACGTGTGACGGGCATATTTTTGGCTGCTACTGCGATGGCCGGGTTGTGCGGTGAGCCCATGGCAATCACGAAGGGGATGCCGGTGCTGGATGTGGCGCCAGGCTTGCGCTCTGGTCGTGATGATGAGGACTGAAGTTGCAAATTGTAGCTCAGAGTACTCGACCCTGAGCCGACCCGTGAGTGGGAGCTGTGATGGGGTTCGGGTGATGGTGAACTCGAAGGCACGTCCTTTGAAAACCTTGACGTTGGTACAACAAGACGCACGGTGGAGGAATTAGATACATCCCGCTCTAGGCTCGGTCGATCGTCACCTAAAGTCGTAGGTAGCGTCAAGTCCACTGAGCTTTCATTCATCCTGTCCACTGTAGTTTGGTTACTTGTCTCTATAGGCACGTCAAGGGAGTCGGCATTGCGAAGTGATGATGGTTCCGGATTACCCATAGCAAGGGCAAGCATGTCCGAATGGTTGTCGTGGACAGATGCTGGAGGTTCCTCTACTGTTCTAGGGCTAGTGTACATGTGGGTCATGGAAGCGCCCACACTTCGCTGGGTGGCATGCCTTTCTGGAATGGTGGTCGTAGGAATCGTGTGCGGTAGACTGATGATGGTGACTTTGGTAGGTGTCTGAGGTGTCATCGGCACTCTCGATGCAGCTTCTTCGAGGTCATCCGATGTTTGATTCGCCGTCTGTGATGGCGAAGTATTCGGGCTGTCGGCAGTCGTCGATGGCGGCGGCGTCAAGGCACGAGTGGATCCCATATTTGCGGTGAGGGGACCAGTCAAAGCAGGTGACGGGTGCTCTGAGCTCTTCAACTCTGGTGTCGTCGACAAGAAGCGCGCACGGCTTGGAGTAGGTGCCGGTCGCAGCGATGATGTATCAGAGTCAAGGTCACCAGTCCTGTTTCCATAACTGCCTAGCTGCGCCGTGATCCTGTTGAGCTTCTTGATGTCGCTCTTGTAACCTCTAATATCCAACTTGTAGTAGATGATCTCTCGCACATAGAAGTCGATCTCGTTGCGCAGGTCTTCAATCTGCGCCTCGGCCGCGGACGCCGGTTCCTTGGCTGGACTCATGGGCTTTGCTTTTCGTAAGCGCTGATTGAGCTTCTGGATCCACCTGTCGATGTCCTTCTTGGTTGCAAGAGTAGTTAGCTCGGGTAGCGGGTCAGTCTCATCAGTGAAGTATCGAGCTGTTGTTGCGTGTTTCCGTATCTCTGCTTGCAACAGGAGCTCGTGGTGTTCTAGTTGCCTTTCGACTGCACGGACTGATTTCTCTTTTTCCCCAATGACAGCCTCTCGTTCCAGGACTGCAGTCCGTAGCTGTCTGATATGTGCATCCGTCTCTTTTGTCTTCCCTAAAAGCTCGTTTTGAATGTCCAATTGTAAGTTGATCTCGTCACATTGCTGGTTCACTTGATCGAGCATCTGTCGCAGTTGTGTGCTGTCTCCTTCCAGTTCGGAAATGTAAGCGTCTTTCTGCCTGATCTCATCCTGAAGCCGCTCGATATGTGCGACAAATCTAGACAATGTTGCAGTTGAATTGCGCTGGCGGCCTGGTTGCGAGTCGGTCGAGAAGACGGTGTCCATGCTTTCGTGAGCATCCTGCACTGGCATTTGCAGCTCTGGAAACTGAGTGTCAAATGGTGACTTCAATGCTCGCATGTTGAATAGCTCTTCTTGCGCATCAAGCTTCTCGGTGTTCGCGATCTCAAGCCGGCTCTCGAGATGGTCAATGGTGTTCTGCAGTGCTTGTGCGCGCGACGCAAGTTGTTGAGCTTCGCTTGTCTTGCTCTCGGCTTCCGCGCACTTTTGTTCGACATCTTGCAGGGTTGCCCTTAACGCCTTCTCGCTTTTTTTAGAGTCGTTCAATTTCGCCATCAACGAGCTGATCTGTGTTTGCAATGCAACATTGTTCTGCTTGTATTGGTTGAGCTCGGGTAGAAGGTTGCGGTCCGCGGTCTGCGGCCGACGCGTAGTGCTCAGCTTGCGTTTCAGGCTCTCCATGTCTGGGCTGTTTTGTGATCGTCCAAGTGATCGCTGTTGTTTTTCTGGCGCGCTGCGAAACGACAAGGTCGAGCTGGCAGATGTGCCTGCTGTGTGCTGTGAGCCCTCACGGCTGGGTGTGGAGGGAAGATCGGTTGTATCCAAAAGAAGCAGGAGGTTATTGCTTGAAGCTAGATGCGCGTCAGCTGGAGTCGTTACGTCTGTTGCATGCTTAGACCAGAACTTTCCGCGACCGTTGAACTGCCAGCAGTGGTTTAGGGCCTGATAAACTTCAGTAGCGACTTGTGCCCCTGGCTAGAGCTGCAGAGAACTCCAGAATTTGTGGATAGTGGCGAGCACGAACTCCGAAGATCGCCAATTGGCGGGTGTAACGATTGCGAAATGAGGAAAGTGAAGGGGAAGCAAGGCGGTACAATCACACTCACCGTGGTGCAGGCTTGGACGCTGTGCCAGTTGTTCTTCCAATAGTCTTGCGTAGTTCCGTAATGACGCAACCTCTGCAGCGTGCGCTTCTGCAAGGCTCGACACGTAAGCTTCGTGTGACGATCTCAAACTGCCAAACTGTGATTGTAATGTCGATATCGTCTGGTCTTGCGTTGCAATAGTAGCCTTCAGGTCCTCGGTGTGTTTGCTGCGCGATGTCGTTGGCGTAGGAGTGAGGGAGGCGCCAAGCTGTTCACGGTCAGCACTTAGCCATCCGTAGGTGAACGCGACAGGTAGTGCTGAGGTTCAAAAGTGAAGAAGGACAAAACGAAGTTGGAGTTGTTCCAGCTTGCCCCTTCCTGCAACCTTGCCCTCAAATCGGCAGCGACGCCCCATGCGCTTGAGTCGAGACAACCACAACAACAACGAAATTGCTGAAACGCACGCACTAGTCGATCGAAATCACATCATCCATATACTTCAGGCAGAGAGCGTCCCATTATGGCTGGACGTGTGGATGCAAACGATCTGAAACAGTTTCGTTATGCGCAGCACGAGCTTGGCGAGTGAACCACCTCAACGGAGAAACAACTGGTACTTACATCATCTCGGCGGCTTGCGCGTCTCTCAAAAGGTTTGTCTGAGGCTGCCGCTTCGAACATCAGCGGCGATAGCTGTAGCAGCTTGCTAGAGTCTATGCGCGACTTGTTCGAGTCGTTACTGGCATTGCCATGCCCTGAGGCACTCAAAGATACAGCGGCGTTGCTGTCGTTGGCCGTGTTCGAGTCTGCAATCGTGCGCCATTCGATGTCGCTCAGTGCTTTTCTATGGTGCACTCTATGGTGTTTGGACTTGCCGATGGCGCTCGCATTGGAAGCAGCCCCGATACGTGAAGACTTCATCGCGCTCTCTCGATACTCAGCATTCAGACTTGGTACGCTCTTGGAGTGGTTCAGCGGTTCGGGAAACAAGTGCAACAGGTCAAAAACGTCGCCTTCATCTTCAGGATATCTATCAGGTGGGTGGGTTTCTCGTCGAACGTTCTGCGAGGTGGGACGACTCGGCGCAAAGTCCGGAGTGTCAAGATCTGGGAAGCCCTGGTTGTGTTGTAGAAGGGATCCAGGCAACTCGACCGGTAGATCTGGAGTTGATGGTACGGAGCTTGAGCGTGGTCGAGTAGGCAGAGGCTTATGTATGGAAGCAGATTTTGGGCAGGCGGCAACGCTCAATGCCGGTGAGCGCAGCATATCATTGAAGATAGCCATGAGATTGGACGTGGAGCTGACAAGGGCGGCATTGTATGGAGACGACAGGGGGCTTGACGTGAACTGCTGGGAGTCCGGAGGGATTATGGTGAGGTTGGAGGGGCGCCTTCGTGCCTTCTGGGTGTCCTTGCAGCGTGTCAGCGAATACACGGTCACGACGTCAAAGCATCCTGCAGCTGCCCGCTGCATGCTTCTGCCAACGGTCACCATCGCCTCCGCTATGCGCAACCACGTCGACGCGCATTGCCAGCACACCGTCAGGCGGCATTTACCCATACCTTTGCTTCTGTAGTGTTGCTGGGCTCGTTGCCTATGGTGTCGATGGGCAGCAGGCCACCTGTTTTGTAGTACGGCTCCGCATTGGATTGACGTTTCGACCAAGAAAACAGCCTTTTGGAACTCATCGTGACGGTTGAACGCTATCAACGATGCATGGCGGGGCGATATTAAGACATTACGATGTAAAGGTAGGGCTATGGAAATGAACGATAGAAGCAAGGAAGACGACACTAGAGGAGAAGAGGAGAACCACGAATGGAGCCGGGGTGACATCCATTGAAGAAGACCCCGAACCTTTGTGACTACAGTGGCGGCAGTTTTGCTACTGCGCAAATGTCCGCTGTCATGTTTCGGTGTACGATGCACGCCTAGAGGATGGCGTGCATGTCTGACTGGGGGCCGAAGCCCGAGTGGGTGAGACGGGCGGAGAAGACAGCGAGAACATATCCAGGCGCTTCTCCATCTGGGTCACACTGAACGCCCGAGATAGGTTGGACGAGTTGGCGCGTGGACGTGAGAAGGGGAAGCGCTTGCCCTGTGATGGGTGCTGCAGGAAGGAGCTTGGGCCAGCTCCCGACCGTCGTTGGAAACCGCAAGCGGCTGCCAAAAACTTTGCGACTGACTCTGCAGCCTTTTATATAGAAGCCTTGCAACTAGATGATCACTATCCAGACAGCGCAATGTCACACTGAGCGATCAATTCACCTGGGCTTTTCACATGTCTTGAGGTGATTGCAAGCGACATCATTTTCCAGGACCATCTTCGCGACCTGAAACGATAAGACGGCCCCCAAGCTACGCCGCACTCCGGTCGGCCCCAAGAAGCGGTCGCATCATGGCGAGAGAGCTGTCGCCGTTCAGTCAGAGGCGACTGCTCACTCAGCAGCTGGCCAAAGGCGAGGTTCCCACCCCACCACGCGTGGTACAGGAAAGGGTTGCAAGCAAGGAGCTAGAGCGCGCAAGCAAGGAGCCCTCAGTCACATCACGCCGCCGGTCGACGAGCAGGTCACGGGAACGGAAGCCCAGAGGCCACACAAGGGACCATAAGCCGAGAGGTGCCTCGCCAGCAGCAAGCGCAAGCCGACGCGGTCGAGATGGATCGCCTGAGCCATACAGAAAGCCTCGAGAAGGCTCACGGGAGGGGAAGCGGGACAGGTCACGAGACCGCCACAGAGACCGCTCGAAGGACAGACGGCGCGACAGGTCAAAGGACAGCAGGAGGAGGGATCGGTCTCTAGACAAGAAGCGGGATCGTTCGCGGGACAGGAGGCGCGACCGTTCAAGGGACAAAGACGCAGACAGGGACCGAAGACGAGAGCGGTCACGGGACAGACACAGCAGACGCGACCGGTCACGCTCGCGAGACCGACGGCGTGGAGACAGGTCGGGGGACGGCAAGCGCTCGCCCTCCGTCTCCAAGTCACCACCGCCCAAACGTCGCCGTCGAAGCCGCTCACGGTCTCATTCGCGGTCCCCGCACCAGCGCACCAAGAAGCCTCTGCCCGACCAGGAGGTCTCTTTCCGCGGTGTCGACAACTCAGAGCAAGCACCCACCAAGTACGGCGGTGCGCCCGTCAACAAGGAGAAGCCTAACTTCAAGACCACCGGCGCGCTTGCAAAGCACGCCAACCGCGTCGAAGGCACCAAAATCTCCCTCAAGTACCACGAGCCCCCCGAGGCGCGCAAAGCCCCCCCGTCCCAGCCCTGGCGCATATTCGTCTTCAAGGGCGACGATGTGATCGACACGATTGAGCTGTGGCAGAAGAGCTGCTGGCTGCTGGGTCGCTCGCACGAGGTTGTGGACTACGTGCTGGAGCACCCAAGCTCGAGCGGTCAGCATGCGGTCATTCAGTTCAGATACATACAGAAGATTGTGGAGGATGAGTTTGGAGTGAAGAGTACGAAAGGGATGGTCAAGCCGTATGTAATCGACTTGGAGAGCAGTAACGGGACCGAGCTCAATGGGAAGGACATCGAGTCGAGCCGTTACTGTGAGCTGAGAGACAAGGATATCTTGAAGTTCGCGGGCAGTGAGCGCGAGTACGTGGTCATGCTACCGCCGCCTGAGGAGAAGAAGAAGTGAGCCAAGAAAAACAACACAAGAGTGGGATGGATGCAGGGTAGCTTGCAGCGATCACGCGCCCTGCATGCACTGTATAGCACCCAAGCCAGATAGATTGAGTATACGATCGGAGCGCTCAAGCTCCACACATCAGGCAGTTGCTCAGGCCCTCTCAGTGTGTGTGTGTGTGTGTGTGTGTGTGTGTGTGTTGTGTGTGTGTGTGACCTTTCAGTCCATCTTGACCAGCACCACGAGAATTGCACAGCGAGCAATTGTCTGACGAGATTCTGCTGATGCCGCTTAGTACACCCCTACCCTTGCCAGGATAGTTTAAGCTTAATCTGCTAGCCCCAGCTGCTAAACATGGGTGCGGGGGCGTTCTAAGAGCGGGCCGCGGTAGAGCAACAGTTCACCCAAAGAATTGACACGTTCGCATTCCTGTCAAGACCCAAGTAGCATTCTTGGAGACTCGCCTTGGAATCTGCAGCGCTTTGGCGAGCTTATGATACTTACGAACCACTGGATTGCAGTCAATCAATCAAAAGGCACTGCTCTTCACTGACATCCTTGGTGCCCGTCAGCCACCTGCAACGCCCGCGGCGATCATCAGTGGGTCGTGCATCACAACTAAGTTCCTCTCGGAAAGCCAAGGCCGTGAGCTTCAGCTAGGCACGCTCTCCTGTGTGCATCTCAATCTATCCTCCCCACCGATTGGTGTTCTTGTCACGCTGTGGTTTTAGTCCTTCCCTTTGTGAGCTGCGCGCTGTTTCCCATGGCAGAGTCGAAGCTTCAAACCGACTGAAACCCTGCCGTTCCGTAATACCACGCCGTTCTTTGCACCACGAGACCCTGCGATCACACGTTTCCCTACGAGGACACCGTTCCCACACACCCCACACCGTTCGCGCCGCTCACGACGCTCCCTGCGACTGCAATCGCGCACCCAAGTCACGAGACCAGGCGCGCTGCGTCGCTCATTCCGCAGCCATGTTCCGTATGAGGAGATACCGAGTGTTCCTCGTCTTCGCGGTCATTGCAGTACTGGCGGTATACAGGTTTGGGACGTCGGGCGCAACATGGCGGGAAGCTGCATCGAGTGCAGCGGGACGGCTAGAAGACGTAGCTGAAGACGCGGTGCAATACATCCACAAGCCCAACGTTGTCGCGCAGGAAACGAGGAAGCTGGAGGTCGATGTACCAGCTGCAACGAGAAAGGCTCCTCTACAGACACCACCGCCTCCAGCCGCGCCCCTCAACGGTCCTGCAGGCAGGAAGTCGTCCACAGCGCCCGCATCGAGCCCCGCCGTCACACCAAAGCTGCCGCAGCAGCACCTCCCTACTATTCCCACGCCTGCCCACGGCCAACCGCACGGCCAACCACACGGCCAACCACACGGCCAACCAGCGGATGCCATTCCCCCAGAGTCGTTGAGCGTCGAGCCGGTGTACTGGTCGAAGCTGCCCGAGAACTTCCCTGTTCCTTCGCAGTCAATGAGTAAGCTGCCAGCTGGCCAATCAAAGCCAATCAAGAAGATACAATTCGACTTCAGGCCCGAGACGGCAGAGGCGAGAGCTGCACGCACCGCAAAGCTCGACACAATCAGGAACGTCTTCAAGAAGTCGTGGAAGGGATACAGGGAGCTTGCGTGGGAGCATGACGAACTCAAGCCCGTGTCTGGCGAGTTCAAGGACCCGTTTGCGGGCTGGCGCGCAACCCTGGTGGATGCTCTGGATACATTGTGGATCATGGGTTTGAAGGAGGAGTTCGCCGATGCCGTCAAAGCTGTCTCCACGATCGACTTCACTACCACCTCGCGCGCCGACATCCCGTTATTTGAGACGACGATTCGATACCTCGGCGGGCTGCTGGCAGCGTACGACGTCAGCGGGAATCAGCACAAGATCCTTCTCGACAAGGCAGTCGAGCTTGCAGAGGTTCTGTACAGCGCGTTTGATACGCCGAATCGCATGCCGGAGACGTACTACTATTGGAGGTCGCAGTTTGCGTCTAATGCTCATCGCGCAGGCACTCGAGTGGTTTTGGCTGAGATTGGATCGCTCTCGATGGAGTTCACGAGGCTCGCGCAACTGACTGGAGACCACAAGTACTACGATGCGATTGCGCGCATCACCGACCATTTGGAGGAATTTCAGAACAACACGAGGCTCCCAGGCATGTGGCCGACGTATCTGGATGCTTCAGGCTGTAAGATGGTGGCTATCGATGTGCCTGCGCCTGCGCCAGTGCCTGCGCCTTTGAATAGCCCTCCAGAAGATAGTCTGACGCCAAGCAACCCGAAACCTACACCCACACCCACGCCAACTGAGCACCTTTCGCCAGACGGCAAGAAGATGATTCCGCTCGATCTGCCTGACCCCATCGTGCTCACACCAAACGGTGTAAACCCAACCTGGGTGCCACCAAAGCAAGGCTTGGACGACCCCATGCTTGCTGCGCTGGGTAACGCTGCGAAGATGTCTGCATTGCCCGCACTTGAACGGCGACAGTTGGATCCCGACAGGAGGACGCCTCCAAACACGGCGGGTGGTCTGGAAGCTGATCTGCTGGCGCTTCAGAAAGAGAACATGGACATGATCAAGTTTGATGCAGCTTCGTCAACTGGCCTGGCCGTGCCTGCCGCTCCCACGTGCAGCCGGCAAGGATTTGCGTCTAGCTCGAACTACGGTCGCGAAGAGTACACGCTTGGAGGCATGTCTGACTCTACGTACGAATACCTTCCTAAGCAGTGGCTGCTCCTCGGCGGCCAAATCGAAAAGTACCGCACCATGTACGAATGGTCAATGGACGTGGTCAAAGAGCACCTGATATTCCGCCCTATGGTCCCCGGAGGCAACGACATTCTCTACTCGGGCAAGTTCAACGTTCAGTCTCTGAAAGACGAGCCACTGGTGGGTGACCTCGAGCCCGAAAATGCACATCTGACGTGCTTTGCTGGCGGCATGTTTGGTATGGGCGCGAAGCTCTTCGACCGTCCCGAAGACCTCGAGATTGCGAAGAAACTCACAGAAGGCTGTATTTACGGCTACGACATGACAGCGACCGGCATCATGCCAGAAGGCTACGACGCCGTGCCTTGCGAAAGCCGAACCGAGTGTCCCTGGAACGAGACGCTGTACCACGAACTCATCGATCCGCGCTCAGACTGGCGCATGGAGAACTACCAAGAGCAACTCCAGCAATACCAGACCCAACTCGTATCTGCCTTGTCTTGGTACGAAGAGGCGATGGCTCTATACACTGCTGTTCCTGAGCCTGTTGCAAATCCAATGGTTCCAGCACAAGCCACACCTACACCCTCTTATGTCTTCGCAGACACCCTTGATCGCCGCCAATTGATCGATCTTCTCGACGACGCAACCCATGTCAACGTCGAAGACACACCCGGTGTCCCCGCTAAACCCGCAAACCCCTCGCCGCCAGCCGCTGTTCGACCACTCGCTGTTCCTCACACCCCTCTTGAGTCCCAGGATCACGACTCGGTCATGGGCGGTGAGCCTGAAGAGGGTGAAGGCCCGCCCACGAAAGTCCAACCTGGCCTCAACATCCCTGAAGTCGGCAGTTCACCACTGCCCACCCATACAGCACCGGAGTTTCCATACTTGTACTCACCGATGCCGGTCATGAGCCACAAGGAGTACGTCAAGAACCGCATTGAGGAAGAGCGCCTCCCCGAAGGTGTCGTCCGCATCGGAGCGCGGAACTACATTCTCCGGTACGTGCCCCATCTCACATTTCTTATCTACCACTCACTAACCCCATCGCAGACCCGAGGCCATCGAGAGCGTATGGTACATGTACCGCATCACCGGCGACCCTCACTGGCGCGAGGCCGGGTGGCGCATGTTCGAAGCCGTCAACCGTGCAACGACCGCTGAGTTTGGCAACTCAGCGATCGACGACGTTACGAAAGCGGCCCCGGAGCTCAATGATAGTATGGAGAGCTTTTGGCTTGCGGAGACGCTGAAGTACTTCTATTTGCTGTTCGCGGATGAGAAGTTGGTCAGTCTCGATGAGTGGGTGTTGAATACTGAGGCGCATCCTTTTAGACGGCCGACTTGACGCGCGCGTGGATGGAAGCACATCCAGGGCATGGTGTTGTAGAAGTAACAAGGCGTCTCTGGCGTTTGGACATTGTGTACTGTGGGCTTCGGCCTGATTGATACCGCTGGGGGCAGTAGGACTTGCTTGAACACAGGCGGTGATTATACCATAGCATAGCATCTATGGAGTTTGTTTGTTTGTTCAGGTGGGTGTGGTCGCTGGACCTTTCTTGAGCACCTGCCGTTGCGTGGGGAGGTGTCACTCACCTTTCCCTCCAGAATTCACAGAACTGTCTTCCTCTCGCCCACATGAGCGTTGTTGAAAACGGTAGTCGCCACGTCCCTGCTTCATATCTCTCGCCTACCGGGCAATACAACGTTGTGCATATATTTTCACGAGGATTTGACGACGCCCAGGCGCACTCGGTGCGTTACTCCTCTACTCATAGCCAGCCAGCCATTCGATGTCCATGGATATAAATGCCTTCAGCAAGAGTGTGCGCGCAGCGAGCCCGGTCAATACCTTCCTGCTTTATCTTCAATCGTACACCGCCCGCACGACTAAATACTTCTCTCACCTGAGGAAAACTACCGCGCTTCGCTATCCCCTTGCTCGGCGGTCTATAATAGGTGAGAGACGCCGAGACGCAGACCGAGTCCTTTATATCTTTTCTTGCCCCGTCCTTCGTCGCTCTTCCTGAAAGGTACCTACCTCGACGAGTTCTTCACCTCACCAGTGACCTCCTCCTGCGTACGCCTTTTCGTTAGGGTTTGCTAACCAAGAGCTTTAGTCATCAGTACCGTGTACGCCTCGACATTTTGAACGTTCACAACAGCTAGATCTCTGGAGCGAGATACCGCCAGCACCGCACGTCAGCATTCGGAAGAAACATGGCTCTCGGGATGTGTGTGACATGCTTATCGAGTCATTACTGACAAGAGAGTAGTCTGGGGCGCAGGACAGTGCTGTGCAAGATTGGTCCTAAACGGAGGCCACACAGGTTGCATGAAGATCTGCTCTGCAAGACCTCAGCCCTCTTCAGCGAAGCTATCCAGCTGAACAGACGCAAGGTTGAAGGCGAATGTTTTGTCTGTTACGATGAGCTTCTGTCAAACGTCGATGAGTTGACGCATGGCAGAGCTTCTTGTGGTGGTAACCTTCACTATTCGTGTCTGGAGGAGTGGAAAGAGCAAGCAACGCCCGCCACCGCGAAATGCCCATTTTGTCGACACAAGTGAAATACACCAAACTTTCATACGCAGTCTTTTTCCAGCCTCGGTGAATGTGGGTTTGATCTCCACGTCGAGTGGCTGTATCGCTTCAGGATCCTGGCGGATAACGATTACAACGACCAATGCTTTGCCGACCTCGTCGAGGCATACTATGACGGTTCTGAATACAATAGGTATCGGGCAATGGAATTGACGTTCACTGAAGTTGAATTGAACTAAGCTGTGTGTTTAGATCATCCAAGAGGACAGGGAGGTTTGATCGTGAGACTGTTGTGTTACTGTAGTCGTTTGAAGGAGTACCATATCGGTCCGTTTATACTCCACCTCACTATACTGAGCCCACTATACTGCGACACATACACTGTTGGCCTGCAGCTCGATGACCAAGACTTCTGCAATGCTCTCTTGCAATCCATCATCGAGGTGTGCGCTGACGATTTCGACTACTCAAGCGCAGGAATAGGAGAAATGGCATACGAAGAGACATCCGGACCTTGCAGCCTGAGGGACATTCTGGTTAGTCTATACATGGACTTGGACCCCGAGGAAGACAATGTTCTTGAAGAGACCTGGAATGAGCTGCCGATCGAGTTCCTACGCGAGCTTTTTATGACCTTTATAAATCTCAGCTATCTAGAATGCTCGGGCACTCTACGTCTCAGAACTGCTTATGTAGCAGGAGGATACATATCCACTCACTTTGATAGATCATCAATCAATCAATTACTTCCTCAATATCTTCTTTTCATATTTGCAGACAATGAAGAACCTATCTGCGGAGGATAACGCCTGGTCGCTGGAAAGCCTCACAGCAAGGCACCTTCCTCAAGTTCCACGGAACGCGAGATCGGATGAGGAAACCAAGGCGGGCCAACTCGGTCTCTGTAACAAAGTCATAGGCACTGAAGAGATGAGAATCGACAAAGACGCGTCGAGAGTACTTCGAAGTACAGGAATACTGCTACAACCGCTATAAAAACGTATCCGTCTCTGTCTCCGCCTTATCTGTACTCTGCAATGCTGATTCGAACATTCGGAGCCTCTCTGCTCTTCGATACAGCAGACCTGTTCTGCCTTCGTTCCGAAGTATGTTCATTTTCTCATATGAACGCGGCTCAGCATTGTCATCCACTCCATCACTACTGACATCGTGTAGTCCACCAAACACCAAGTCACACAAGCTCTACTTACTCCAAAAGGCGTAGTGTAGAGTTCACTATCTCCCGAAAATGATCACCGGCACTTGTCCACTTCGGGCCGGATCTGAACACTTCCGGAGCTACCGTGTCTGTGCGCGCAATGCGCGGATTCGCGCAATGCGCCGAAACACCAAAATCGTCAATCCAAAATTGAGGCTGTAGAGCCACACACAATGGTTATTATCATGAGATTTTCTGGCGGAGTAGTCTATAGACCTATATGAACAAGTTTCTCACTCAAACTTTTGTGGCGCTCTGATTGGGTGGCTGCGGCTGTTGTATTTTGCTGGAGGGGATGGGGAGCAAGGCGTGGCAGCAGCATGACTATGGGCAGCTGCACTACCACGATTCTGCTTCTTCCTGGGTGCTGCAACCTCTGAGGCCTTGCGCTTGCCTCTTTGGGACAATTGTATAGGTTTTTTGGTGTTGCGCTCCCTCTGTTGACGCTCTTTTTCAGCCTTGCGTTTGGCAACTTCCTTAGCCTTCTCAGCCTTCAGCCGGTCACGCTCTTCCTTCTTCCTCAACTTCTGCTCACGCCTCTCCTGTGCAATCTTCTCCTTGTACAGCTTATTGGCGTGCCTCAGTTCAGCCATCTCTGCTTTTTTGAGCTCCTCTGCCTTCTGCTCTTGTTGTTTTGCCCTCTCACGTGCACGTGCTTTCTCTACTCTACTAGGAGAGTAAAACTCGGCTCCACCGTGGTAGTCCTTGTGATGCTGAAGCTCAAGAGGCTTGCTCTTCTTCTTGTGCTTCTTTTGAGTCTTAAGAACCTCTCTGAGGCCTGTAATCTCGTGGTGGAGGACTGAGTTTTGAACTGAGATGTGGTGGAGTGAGCGCCTGATCTTTTTCAGCTCTTCACTGCCTTCGTCTTTGGCTACTTTGCGCAACAGAGTCTCTGTTTTGAGCCAATCCTTGCCGCTATAGACTGAAGAAGAGCTTTTGTTGCTATCGGAGCCCTCAGGGGTAGGCTTAGCAAATCGCTTGAGGATGACGTTGGGTTGAAGGGGTGCTATACCCGTTGCCTCAAAGGACCTGAGTATCAGCCCCTGAGTAAACGTACTTGTCCACGCCTTCCAGAACAGGTGGAAGAAGTCGCTCTTCTTGATAACCGACAGTCCTTGGCCATGGTGAAGGTGTGTTGTGAGCTCCTTTGAGTATGCTGTCGAGAGAGGCTTGAACATCACCACATCGAGTGGCTGGAGCGTGTGGGTTGAATGAGGAGGAAGTATAGCCAGGAGTATCCTGTTCTGATCGCAGTAGTTGATGAAATCCATCGTGACGTGAGATCCATGGCCATCCAGTATCAATAGGCGGTACTTTCTTCGTGCTTTCTTCTTGGTGTAGCGATCAAACACCTGTCTGAGCCAAGCGAGGGCTACCTCGTTGTTTGTCCAGCCTGAAGGTGACGAGGAAACAAAGACAGAGTGTACTCCTGGCTTGATTTCCTCCACCCAGCTTGACTGTATAGTGTTGTTGGTAGACTCGTATAGGAGGCCTGGTGGCAGTGCCGATCCATCCCCACACACACACGCTATAAGCGTCACCCAGGCACGATTACCATCTTGAGTAGTTGCTGTAACCTCCTTCTTCTCCCACATACGTCTACTGAAGACGTGTTTGGTCCTTGTGGTGACTCCGATCATGAAGCCCTTCTCATCCATATTGTATGTGTGCTCAGCGTCGACGTTGTATTGGGCAATTTTGGACTGCAACAGGTCAAAATAGAGCTTGTACTTGGTATACGAATCGGCGTTGTGGCGATTGCTGTCCATACCCGTTGAGTATTGAGAGATGAGATGGATTGAGTGGTTGTTGATGAAGCGGGTAACCCAGCTCTCGCTGACTGGCTCTGTGGCTATTGATGACGCAAAATTTGCTATCATTTCCCTTGTAGGAGGTAGATGTCGGGCTGTAAGCTCCTCTATATACTTGACAAGCTCGTCCTCTTGTTGTGGAGTGAGCTTTTGTTGTGCAATTGCCTGCTCTTCACGCGATCGCGTTTCTCCTCGGTACTTGCGCGTCAACGTAGAGCGCACAACACCATGCTTTATGGATAATTGCGTCCAAGGGATGTTTTTGCATGGCATCATAGCATCTATCTCTTTAATGGCTTCCTCTAGCGTCATTGTGGCGTTGAGTTGTGGTGTTGTGAAGTATGGGTGCATAAAGCGTCTCGGCGCATTGCGCGAATCCGCGCATTGCGCGCACAGACACGGTAAGTCCACGCCGTCGATGTCGATCACCGCCCATCACTCTGTTCCTATCGTAGCAGCCTTGCTAACAGCAAGCCACGACAAACCTCCGAGCCATGATCGCAGCTTAAGCAGGTTAGAAATCGGTGTTCTCGTCATCGAAATGTCATGGTTGTTATTGGGTCATAAAGGCATCTTGCCCGTGCTTGGCCTGATCTCCACGACTACACTTCTTTACAGTCTCGCTAAAACCTAAATTCCGTATTCAGTATGCGTCTTATCATTGTGGCGGGTGCATTAGTAGCCAGCGTTGCTGCGCATCCTCAAGGAGGCTCACTGCTTGGACTGCCACTTGACGTTGGGGCACTGCTCAAGTCGCTCGGGCCAGCTCCTGCAAACGACGCCAGATTCACCAACTTCAAGCCAGCAGGATCTGGTGATGGTAAACATACACACCTAACATCAGTGGCTTTCACTAACCCTTACCACAGTCCGCTCTCCCTGTCCCGGCCTCAATGCCCTAGCAAACCACAACTTCATCCCACACAATGGCCGCGGCAACACCATCCCCATCCTGCTCAAAGGCCTGGCCGAAGGCCTAAACATGGGTGCGGACTTCACCGTCGCCATCGGCGGCGCAGGTCTTTTGGCCTCGCCGAACCCACTCGAAGGATCTTTCGACCTTAACGATCTGAACATGCACAACTTCCCCATCGAGCACGACGCGAGTATGTCACGCCAGGATGCCGCGCTCGGCAACGACCAGCCATTTTACGACCCGAATTGGCAGCAGTACATCCAATTCTTCAAGGGCAAGACGGTGACGGATGTACCGACGGCTAGTAAGGCGAAGTTTGCGCGGTACAACGATAGTTTGACGAAGAATCCAGAGTTTACGTATGGGATTAGAGAAGCGATTTTCTCGTACGGTGAAAATGCGATTTATCTCCAGGCCATGAGTGATCCAGTGTCTGGTAATGCGAAGATCGAGTATGTCAGGAGTCTGTTTGAGAAGGAGCAGTTACCGTATAATTTGGGCTGGAGGCCGAGTAAGAGTCCAATTACGCTGGCGAGTCTGGGGAATATGGCGGTCCAGTTGTATGGGAATAGTCCGCAGCCGATTGCAGAGGGCGAGAAGATTTTGGCGGACTCGTACAAAGATGCATTAGTAGCGGTTGTGGGAGGGTCGAATATTTTAGCCAACTTGACACAAGGGATCAGTTCGGCACTTGGATTGTAGTAGATCAACTAAAACTTCCGATCCATATGAATACAACGATACACAAAGCGCGCAGACAACGAATAATCTAACCAGACTTGCTGTGAACCAAAATAAAGCATGGCTCGGGCATCATGCAGACAACATCGGTGCTGTCCGGTTTAGTGTTGAGTGGGTGTTTCTTCGTACCCAAGCTCCACCGCGACCCAAGAAGACCATGTCCTATCAAGCCTTTTACGGCAGATTTGCCGCGATAGTCGGAAAGAATCGAACAAGCTACTCGCACGTTGAGCATCAAGCTTTGACCATCCCTTCTTGTTGTCGCGAAACCTGCTCCGTGTATCGCAATTTCGCCACCTACATCCTTTCCACACAGCAGCTTATCGACCACACATATGCCTACATTGTCCTGCTTCCTCAATACTCCCGACAGTGGTCCAGTGAAGAAGATCCGAGATTCAACGAACGGGCCAGCGATCCCAGTCGACTCGCTGGAGGCATTTCCTTCGTCTCCGATCACACAGAGCGATTTCAGGGCAGTACGAAGGTAATGCGTGTTTTATGCAGCTTAAGCAGGTGACAAGCCACTTCTTACGCCGGCACCTTGTCATCAACTGAGGTCGGTTTGCTCTCTTCCAAAAGAGCGTGCCAAGAGTATACCCGATCGTACGGAATGCTACATCTGGCTTGTTTTTGCGACACTGCAAGATACGCAAACAATTACACGCTTGCTAGGAACGAACGTGAGCAGACTTGCAGCACTACTATTTCCTTGCACCGACAGAAGACGGTTGGTTGGAGATTGGCCGCAGTGTCTGGCAGACTGTGTAGGAGGGTTTGATATAGGTGCTGGAGTTATTATCACTATCCATTGCGCCGTCATATTGACAGAGCTACAGTCGGGTGCCCAAAGTCTGTTCGCGACGGCTTTACCCCACCAAGATTGACCATATTCCATAACAAATATAACAGCCTCTGCTTATTTAAATAACATAAGATAAAGAAGTATAGAAGTGAATATCTCTTTCTAACACTCTCTTAAGCTTTAGCAATTAATCTTAGGTTTGTATACAATTAGAGGAGGGGTAAAGAGAAACTATCTTCGCTATCTTCTCTACTCCCTCTAGTCTTAGAAATAAGATAAAGATCTAGGACTTCTAGAATAAACTCTTCTACTAATTTTTCTCAAAAGCATGACTTTATAGCTCTATGTTATTTAGAAAGGTATATCTTAAGGTGAAAGAGGTGACTTTTGGTGAGCAAGTCCGCCAAGCGAACAAACTTTTGGCCTAGTACTGTAGAAAAGAACGACAGAATGTGTATTAGCACAAAGTGAAGTAAGAGCTGAGAGTGCTAATTGATGCTAGTCCTAAAATGTTGGTTTCAGGGGATAAGGTTCATGCTACGACAGAAGAAGACAAGAGGGATGGCGATCGTAACAACATCACATACTAGGCATGTAGGCTCGAAGAGCCTCAGCTGAGATTGAGTGGAGACAGCTTCGAGACCTCAATCTAGCGTCCACAAGCTGTCCTTTGTTTCCGCTAAAACACGCAGGTCTATGCACACGCATTGAGACTAACAAGCTGCACAAGTCTGCGTTATATCAGTAGGGCGCAAATGCAGACTGGAGAAGCGTGTCGGTCACTGAGGTGTAGACTTTGTAGATCTGTCGGTGCAGCAGTTCAATGATCAATTCTTGTGAGTTGCAATGCGCGCACGATCTCCGCCCGCAGAGAATCGCATACGCAGGCAGCAAATTGTCTAGGGTTGGTCTATGCGATCGCGGCTGAAGCCTCGCGCAGCGCGGCGCCACGTTTGCATTCCGTTGCGATGGTCTAGACTGCAAGCGGGTACCTTTGGCCGTGTGCGGATGGTGCGTAGAGCGCGAGCACAGTCTAGAAAGAAGCAAGCGAGCCAACCAACTATCGAGAAAACCAAGTGAGGGTTAAGTCGGTGTGGCCATGTAGCTCTAAAGACGGTTAAAATCAGATCTGTAATGATCATCTTCTTCTTCTTGGACTTAGACTTAAACTTAAATTTTTTGTTTGTTAGCCGTAGCATTAAGTGTGATCGAGAACAGGCGAGATGGAGGCAAAACGGGTATGCTGATTTTACCCAAGTACTCCAGCTAAACAAGAAGTGCCCGGGGTGAGCGAGCTGTAGACGTCGTTACCAGCTTGAAAGAGTATATATTAGAGCAAGATACTATGGAACATGCGACTGAGAACTACACAGCTCCGTTGGCTTCACATCGCCGTCCTTCTTACAGCAACAATTGCCAGACTTGCTTGAAATCACTTAGCAGCTATGCAACTCTTGTCTTATGCCCTTCTTTCAATGGCTACCGCCGCCTACGCCAGCCCCTTAGCTCGACCAACTGATGCTCTGAAAGAACGAGCTGTCAACTGCAACAAGGTCAATGCTGCCCTTGGTGTCCTCAAAATACTTGGCTCGCCTGCGACAACGTTCTGCAGCTCCTACCTGCATATTCCCGCGACTGTTACCCAAACCGCAACTGTTGCGCCTCCGGTAGCGTGAGTGATGGTTCAAGATTATATATACCACGCTGACCCTATTCAGGACTGTCACAATCTCAACAACAACAATTTCGACAATTGCGCCTGCAGGCTGCTCCACTGTCGTGCTTCAGGACAGCTCGGCACCCGCACCTGAAGGCAAACGTGACGTTATTGAAAAACGCATCAACCTCCCAGCTTTGTCCGCTTTCGCTGCATCACAACTCTCGTCCGGATGCAGTTGCCTGGGCTTGAGTCCGAAGACAACCTCAACGACAACGTTCACACCTCCTGCCACATCAACAGTTAAGGTTGTCGCGACAAGTACAGCCTGTACCACCTGCGCTCCGAACCTTGCTCCCTGCACATTCGATGACCCTGGGCGGTGCTGTAGTCAGGCTTGTGCGGCACCAGGTGTTCTAGGAAACACCAATGACTTCCCGGCTTGTGTTGTTTTCTGATTGTAAGCCATTCGTAGTTAACTAAACTCGAACTGTTACTATGTTTCTCCCCAAGAAGTATCGTGATCATAAATACTACGTGTAGCGTTATAGCCTTATTTTCATAAGATTCATCTAGGTATTAGGCGCGCTTTGTAGAAACATGGACATTGCGCGCACAGACATGGTCTCTGGCCCCTCAACCCTCGGTATCAACGCAACGGCACTTCGAGGCACTAAACTAGCTATCCGGTTTTTGCACTGCCCTTACGCAAACGCTATCCGCGCACTGCTAACCAGATTTCACCCAGCTGTTAACGTTGCTCTATTTACGTTGTGTTGGATCAGCGTCTCATCGCAGCCTTTCACAGCAAGTCTCTCGGTGTCTGCATGAGATACCCATCGGAATCCAAGTTCACTGTTCACTCGAGGTTCATCTTTCCGCCTTGAGGCCTCTTGTTTGCGATAAATCTACTTGAGCTGCCGGCCAAACTCTTACAGCTCACAACTGACATCGCTGTGCAACGCACCAGCCTCCGACACACGCATCCAGTGTCCAGAAGACATGGCGCTTAGGCAATTAATTTTACCATCTATAGCAGCTTAACGGGTCGCGCAAAGGTGGGATTGAAACAACCATCGAAGATGTGCCCGATAATTGTGTTCAACAATGATAGTATGTTGCTGCGTGAGCAGTGTCGGTCGGAGGCTGTGGTCAATGATTGTATTGCTATCTGTGTTGTTGTTCGATGATGTCGTTGTACAGGAGCTCTCCGCTCAGAGGTAAGTGCACTTGCTCTCGGGCAGTGCCTTCTACACTAGAAAGGTATTTGGCTTGCGATAAATGTATATCTGTAGACATGCTTCAAATGTTCAGCCCCCCCCCCCCCTCCGGTCTAAGTCTGTGGCAACCAAATGGCATCCAAATTGGACCTCACCCTCTCCACTCATTTGAAGGCTGAAGATCGTCCAGTATGAGCATTATTTTTCAACAGCAATGAGCCCCTCCTCCTGCGAACCAAACACTGCTTTCTGCTTGACCCAAGGATGGGATACCTTCGACGATACACAAGGACAGACCAATGCAACGGCAGTACTGGTCAGCCTATTCATCACGCAGAAGAGCCGAACGACACGTGGGGGTGCAGCTGAAGCTAGCTGCGACCCAATGCTGCTGGACTCCAACAGGCTTGGAATGCTCACGCTGGCCGAGTGGGACGAGTACTACAGCTATGAGGAGGACACAACACGCCGTCTGCGATACTCAATCGAGTGGAAGGTGGCTGTCAACAACAAAGTCGTTGCCAGAGACACGGAGCAGGATCTCGTCCTAGTACCTGCTGCATACTGGCACACGTACCTCAAGCCCAAGGTGGAGAAGCTCTCGAGCAGGAGAGTAGCCCACGACAAGCACGTAGAGAGGGATGATACCAGCGTTGTCGTATCTCTGAGCAATCGCTCGGAGCGTGACCTGGCCAAGCGTTTCGACAACATGAACATTGACTGGTTGAGGCAGAGAAGCAGCTGATTCAGTGTGGCGAGTTGTTTCGCGTCGGTAAGAGGTTGAGGATCGGTCTTTCTTCAGCTACATAGACGCATCCTCGCAGCCAAACTGGCACAGCAAGCCGTGGCAACAAGCGCGGCTCGTCAGCCACGCAGAAGATGCTTGCTGACCAAACAACTCACACTGACGATGAGCTAGAGGCGAGTGGAAGTCCTTTAGCCTGGCAGGAAGTATATGCTTTGTCGCGATGTCCCGGCCAGCCGTGCAATATACACGCACTGCTGGCGCGATCCCTTTGGTAAGCGGCACCACGAGCTGCGAACGCACCACCTGAAGGCGCTGGCCGAGTTTGTGCAGCAGGGCCAGGCTTTGAAGAGTCACGACGGTGTGCGTGACAAAACCCGTGAACAGCTGTTCTTGTGCGGCGGGGTTGCAGGGCCTATGCTTCCTTGACAGACCTCGCAAACCAGGTCAATCACAATCAATCTGGCTTATCCAAACTATACAAACGCGTGACTGAGAAAGCGGAGGAGCTGTCTGTTCAATTGTGGGATGAAATGTTGTATGAGAATGACCTGGGGCACGGTCAATTGAAGCTCTTGACTCAGGAACAGAAGGACGCTATCATTGCACTTGTCACCTCCTCACATAACAACCGAGAGAAGGAATTGTACCCAGCATGAGCATCACAACATTTGAAAACATCATGTATGTGTTACGATCCTATGTCCCACATGGCAGAAGGCACAGCAATAAGTAACCACCAACCAGAAAAGATGGTTACAAGCAGGTGTACCTCATCAATTAACTTTTGTTGCAGGCCGAGCGCTCTCGTGAACCTAAACTGCGTTACTAATTGTGCCACATAAGGGCCTAGATATAATCTGAGCTATGGTGCTAGAACAAAACAACAACTTACACACTCTTCTTGACATCCCATACTTGCAACCCCCGCACCTAACTGTGCAACAACTTTGTTATCAGAATTGCATCAACCTTTAGTCTACTCTATACTACTCATCGTTACCCCAAGTTGCTAAGGTGTTTCTGTCGCAGTATAGTGGGCTCAGTACAGTGAGGTGGAGTATAAACAGACCTATATGGTACTCCTTCAAACGACTACAGTAACACAGCAGTCTCACGATCAAACCTCCCTGTCCTCATGGATTATCTAAACACACAGCTTAGTTCAAATCAACTTCTGATGAGGGCGTTGTTGTGTTTTCTATTGGTGCTATCAGAGCGGGCAGATATCTACAGTGCGCTAGAGCGGGAGCTATGGGTGATTTTCGAAATACCATGTAACGTGTTTTATCGGCTCGTGCACGCAATTGGCTTGTGCACAAAAATCAGCAGCTACACCCACACACTTATGAGGTTGTAGAGTCAGCCATAAAAGTTATCGCGATGTGATTCTATAGTGGAGTAGTAATTGAGAGCTTGCAATTCTATTATGCGACTTATAGCGGGCTGGTTTTTGGGTTTTGCAGCTGCTGCGGGTGGTGACTGTGGGGGATGCCTGGACCAACGCTTCTACTTCGGCAGGCCTTATTTCATCAATGATGACAACTGCTGACTTCTTCTTGCTTGAGGGCTTAGGAGTAGACTTTGTTGTAAGTGCTTTACTTGTTTTGGATAATTCCAAGTCTTCTATGAGTTGCTTTGACAGCTCGCGGTCAACAGTGTCATCCTGACATGGCTTGCAGCCAATAATAATCCACCCAGTCACACCCCATGGAACCTCATGGAACATCATGGAATCCCATGGAATCCCATGGAACAACACAGAATCTTCTGGTTGCTGACAAATGATGACAAATGATTACAAATGATTACAAATGCCAATGTATCTAGAACATTCCAGGAGCCAGCAGTCTGTCTATAAAGGCAGCCTGCCCTCCTGCTCA